TTTGACAATCTTCTACACTATCCACAACTCCACCGATCTTTGTATCATCTGCCAACTTACTAATCCACCAGTCTATATTTTCATCCAAGTCATTTATATATATCACAAACAGCAGAGGTCCCAATACAGATCCCTGCGGAACATCACTTGTCACGGATGTCCAGCCTGAAAAACACCCTTCCACCAATACCAATCGGTCATCTATGGGCAACCAAATTCTGAATCCATGTGGCCAAGTCACCTTAGATCCCTTGCATCATCATCTTCTGGATGAGCCTACCATGAAGGACCTTGTCAAAATCCTTACTAAAATCCATGTGAACAACATCCACTGCTCTACCTTCATCGATCACCTTCATCACCAAATTGAAAAATTTAACCAAGTCATTAAGACATGACCTGCCCCGCACAAACCTGTGCCTAATTAGGCCAGGGTTTTTGAAATGTGCGTGAATCCTATCCCTAAGAATTTTCTTCAATAGCTTCCCAACAATCAATACAAGACTCACTGGTCTGTAGTTTCCTGGATTACCCCTATTTCTCTTCTTGTTTAGAGGAACAACATTAGCTATTCACCAGTCCTCCAGGACCTCTCCAGTGGCTCATGAGGATACAAAGATCTTGGCCTTGTCTAAGCCTCTTGCCCTAAGGGAGTCCCCATCAATACCAGGGATGTTAAAGTCACCCACTATGACAACTGTTTTTATTGCACTTGTCCATAATCTGCCTACATGTTGGCTCCTCAATGTCTCGGTAGCTGTTGGGAGGCCTATAGTTTAATCCTATCATAGTGATTGCACCCATCTTATTTTTGAGCTCTACCCATATTGCCTCAACGGATGAGCCCTCCAGCATGTCCTCTCTGATGTAACATTCTCCCCGATTAGTAACACAACTCCTCCACCATTTTTATCTTCCTCTCTATCTCGTCTAAAACAATAAAACCTTGGAACGTTGAGCAGCCAATCCTATCCCTCTCTCAACCAAGTCTCTGTAATGACCACACCATCATAGTCCCATGTACTGATCCAGGTTCTGAGCTCATCTATCTTACCTTTAATACTCCTTGCGTTGAAATAAACACACTTCAGCCCATTAGTACCCTCATGTTCATTTACGTGTCTCTGTCTGTCCTTTCTTTCTGATTTGCTCGTCGTAACGTCTACCTTCCCCTCAATCCTCCTACTTGCTGACCTGCTGCTCTGGTTCCCAACCCCCTGCCACTCTAGTTTAAACCCTCCCAAGTCACACTAGCGAACCTCCCTGCGAGGATATTGGTTCTGCTCCAGTTTAGATGCAAACTGTCCCTCTTGTACAGGGTCACCCATGCCCCAGAAAAGGTCCTAATGATCCAAGAACCTGAAACCCTGCCCCCTGCACCAGCTCCTTAGCCACACATTCAATCTCTCCTATCTTTCTATTCCTTGCCTCACTAGCACGTGGCACGGGTAGTAACCCAGAGATTACTGCCCTTGAGGTCTTGCTTTTCAGCCTTTTTCCTAACTCCTTGTACTTACTCCGCAGGACCTCATCCCTCTTTCTACCTATGTCATTGGTACCAATATGCACCGTGACCTCTGGCTGCTCACCTTCCCCCTTCAGAATTTCATGCAACCACTCAAACATCTTTGACCCAGGCACCAGAGAGGCAATACACCATCCTGGAGTCTCAGACATGCCTATAGAAATGCCTATCTGTGCCCCTAACTAACAAGTCTCCTACCACTATTGCTCACTTGGATCTTGTCTGACCCTGCTCTAAAGCACAGGCAATTGTGGTGCCACAGGCCTGGCTGCTGCTGTTATACTCCCGTGAGAGGCTATCCAACTCAGCAACCCCCACCCCGCCAAACAGAATCCAAAACAGTATGCCTGTTAGAGAGAGGAACAACCTCAGGAGACTCCTGCACTACCTGCCTGCCTCTCCTTCCACTGCTACCCTCTGTCTACTATGACCGAGCCAGTATTTTATTCATCTTGTAAGCTCATCTCCGACCCCATGTGACTTTACCTTCTGTATTAGCCTGCCATGAGGGACCTTGTCAAAGGCTTTACTGAAGTCCATGAAGACAACATCCACTGCCCTACCCTCAATCATTTTCGTCACTTCCTCAAAAAAACTCAATCAAGTTAGTGAGACACGACATCCCCTTCACAAAACCATGTTGCCTCTCGCTAATACACCCACTCATTTCTAAGTGGGAGTAAATCCTGTCTCAAAAGAATCCTCTCCAGTAATTTCCCTACCACTGACGTAAGGCTCACCGGCCTGTAATTAGCTGGATTATCCCTGCCCCTTCTTAAACAAAGGAACAACATTGGCTATTCTCCAATGCTCTGTGACCTCCCCTGTAGCCAATGAGGAAACAAAGATTTCTCTCAAGGCCCCAGCAATTTCCTCCCTTGCCTCTCTCAGTATTCTGGGGTATATCCCCTCAGGCCATGGGGGCTTGTCTACCTTAATGTTTTTCAAGATCCCCAATACCTCCTCCCTTTTGATCTCAACATGACCCAAACTATCTACACACCCTTCCCCAGAGTCATCATCCACCAAGTCCTTCTCTATGGTGAATACTGATGCAAAGTACTGATTTAATACCTCGCCCATTTCGTCTGGCTCCACACAAATTCCCTTCCCTGTCCCTGAGTGGGCCAACCCTCTCCCTAGCTACCCTCTTCCTCTTTATATATGTATAAAAAGTCTTGGGATTTTCCTTAATCCTATTGGCCAATGACTTTTCATGACCCTTTTTAGCCCTTCTGACTCCTTGTTAAGTTTCTTTCGACTTTCCTTGTATTGCACCCTTGCTTTGTGTGTTCCCATCCTCCTAGCCTTGACAAAAGCTTCCTTTTTCTTTTTGACTAGGCTCGCAATAACTCCCGTTATCCAAAGTTCCCTAAACTTGCCATACTTACCCTTTATCCTTACAGGAACGTGCAGGTTCTGAGTTCCTATCAACTTACACTTGAAAGCCTCCCACTTACCAGATGTTGATTTGACCTCAAACATCTGCCTCCAAATCTACATTCTTCAGTTCCTGCCTAACATTGTTGTAATTAGCCTTCCCCCAATTTAGCACCCTCACCTGACAACTACACTTATCTTTATCCATCAGTACCTTAAAGCTTACTGAATTGTGATCACTGTTCCCAAGCTGCTCCCCTACTGAGACGTCGACCACCTGGCCAGGCTCATTCCCCAATACTAGGCCCAGTACGGCCCCTTTCCTAGTTGGACTATCTACATACTGCTTTAAGAAGCCCTCCTGGATGCTCCTTACACACTCTGCCCCATCCGCACCCCAAGCACTAAGTTAGTCCCGTCAATATATGGGAAATTAAAATCACCCATGACAACAACCTTGTTACTTTTACATCTTGCCAAAATCTGTCTACATGTCTGTTCTTCTATCTCCCGCTAGCTGTTGGGAGGCCTCTAACAACCCCGAACATTGTGATTGCACCCTTCCTGTTCCTGAGGTCTACCTATATTGCCTCGCTGTATGAGCCATCCAAGGTGTCCTCCCACAGTACAGCTGTGATATTCTCCTGAACAAAGTGTTCCAACTTCCCCACCCTTTTTACATCCCCCTCTATCCTTCCTGAAACATCTGTATCCTGGAATGTTAAGCTGCCAGTCCTGTCCCTCCCTTAACCAAGTTTCTGTAATAGCAACAACATCATAGTTCCAAGTACTAATCCAAGCTCTAAATTCATCTGCCTTACCTGTTACACTTCTCGCATTGAAACATACGCACTTCAGTCCACCAGATGTGCTTTGATCAGCAAACACAGCCTGTCTTCTTCTACTGGTCCCACGTGCCCTGGAAGAGATTCCAATGGTCCAGATTTCTGAAACCCTCCCTCCTATATCATCTGTTTAGCCATGTGTTGAGCTGTACTATCTTGTATTTCTAACCTCACTGGCACACAGCACATGGAGTAATCCCAAGATTACAACGTTGGAGGTCCTGCTTTTTAACTTTCTACCTAAATCCCTGAATTGCTGCTGCAGGACCTCATCACTCATCCTACCTATGTCGTTAATACCAACAACAACCAATATGTACCACGACCTCTGGCTGTTTACCCTTTCCCTTCAGAATGCTTTCTGCCTGTTCAGACACATCCTGGACCCTGGCACCAGGGAGGCAATGTACCATCTCTTTTGCATCCACAGAAACGCCTATCTGTATCACTAACTATAGTGTCCCCTGTAACTACTGTTCTAGTGCTCTCTGTCCTTCCCTTCTTAAGAGCTAGCTGTGGTGCCACCAGTCTGCATGCTGCTGCTGTTTATCCCCTGATAGGTCATTGCCCCCAACAGTATCCAAAATGGTATACTTGTTAGAGAGGGGGACAACCACAGGGGATTCCTGCACTGGCTGCCTGCCTCTCCTAGCAGTGACCCATCTATCTACCTGCACCTTGGGTGTCACCACATCTCTAAAACTACTGTCTAAGATGCTTTCTGCCACCCTCATGCTCCTAAGTGCATCCAATGCCACTCCAACCCATCCATGTAGTCTGTGAGGACCTGCAATTGGGGAACTTCCTGCAGACGTAGTCATCTGATACTTGACAACAGGCCCTCCACAAATGACCATCGGGGAACAGTGATGCAACTCTTCCCCGCACCAGCCAATCAGCATTACCACTCTGCTGCACTCTTCTGGGTACTCACCTTCACTTGAACATGAAGGGTGTCTTGATGAAGTCCACCTCCTGGAAGCAGTGATGCAACTCTTCCCAACTTCAGCCAATCAGCGTCACCACTCTGCTGTCTTCTTCCAGGTACTCTACAGTCCCCATTAAAGAAGAAACAAGAAACAGCTTTATTTGGGAATAAATTGATTCACAGAGTGAAACTCTTGCAATGTGACCCACTGAAGGAAGCAGACTACAGTTTACATTTGAATTGCTTCACTTGAGATCAGATGCGCAGATGTCTGTGATCATAATTTGTATGGATACCAGGAGCTATAATAAAAGTTTACTGAATCCTTCAGTATTGTACTTCTGTGTCTTGTTCTTACGGTACAGGAACCAAAAATAAGTATCGCTTCATCAGAAATGAATACCTTGCTGAAAGAACAAATCCCATGATAATAAAATCTAAATCTAAATGTAAAATCTAAATCTTGCTTTATGTGCATTCAAGGAACCATCCCCCTCTATATATTTAGGAACAGGAGTAGGCCATTCAGCTCCTTGAGCCCGTTCCACCAGTTAATCAGAACATAGCTGATCTGTGGCCTAATCCCATATCTTTGCCTTTGCCCATATCCCTTAATATCTTTGCTTATCAAAAATTTATCTGTGTCAGATTTAAAATTAACAACCGATCTAGCATCAACTGCCACTTTTGGAAGACAGTTCCAAACCTCTATCATCCTTTGTGTGTAGAAGTGCTTCTTCAACATCTCTCCTGGACAATCAGGCCCTAATTCTCAGACTATTCCCCCTAGTTCTAGAATCCCCAATTGGTAGAAATAGTCTTTTCCTGCTAATACTTTGAAGACTTTACTCAGGTTACCCATTAATCTTCTACATTCTAGAGTATAGAGTATACAGACCTAATTTGCATTATCTATCCTCATAACTTAATCCCCGAGTCCAGGTATCATTATTGTAAACCTATTATTGTTGTACTCCCTCCAAGGTCAATATATCCTCCCGAAGGATCCTAAGGTGCCCAGATCTACCTGCATTACTCCAGCTGGGGTCTAGCCAGGGTTTAATTCGGTTAGCAGAATTAAGAGTAAAGTGGTAGGTAAATTGATTAGAAGCTAAAAGAGGATCTACACATCATGGGGAGGGCAAGGCTAAAAAGTGATAAATTATGATTTTTCATCTGCATGTATCAAACAGAAGATTCATGCCCAAATCATAGCAACATTTTATTTGATAAAATTCTACATAGTTGACATGTGAGCAAAGTTGAGCTTGTGGAATAGTAGAACAGTAGCAACATGGATATGAAGTTGGCTGAGTGACAGGAAACAGAGTATGGATGAATGACTGTTTTTCAGACAGTCTTGGAGTTCCCAAAGGGCCAGTGTTAGTAGCTCTGCTTTCCCAGATGTATAAATGGTCCACAGGAAACAATTTCAACTACAAATTGGCAGATGGTAAGACTTGGAATCCTTGTGACCTGTGAGGAAGATAATCGGAGACTTCAGGAGAACAAGAGCAGAGAGGTTATGCTGAAATTATTTCAGAATCATTCGGCATTAGCTGGAATGTTGCATCCAAAGTTGGCACCACACTTTAGGAAGGTTATTAAGGCATTAAAGAGGCTGCACAAAAGATTAACAAGAATGGGTCCAGGAGAAGCTGGAATGTTCTTTTTGGAGAGAAGATGGAGATGAGATTTGATATAGGTAGTCTGGAAGGGTCTGGACAGAGCAGATAGAAAGGATCTATTGTGGATGGATCAAAACCCAGGGGCCACCAAGTGAAGGTGACTGGCAAAAGAAATAACACCGAATGAGAAAAAGTTTTCCACAGAGTGATCAGGATCTGAAATGCCTGAAAAGTATGTTGGAGGCATTCAAAAAGGAGTTGGAAAATTACTGTAGCCATTTTTTTTTCCAGTAAGGTGTAGGGGACTGGGACTCAATAAGGTGCACTTGCAGAAGGCAGGTATTGACATGATGAGCAAATGACTTGCTGTTTTGATTTGATTCACAGATCCTTTATGATGAACTTAAATTTCACACACTTTCATTGTGGAATTTGAATTTATATCTGAATTACTTTTCAAGCAACATAACTATAACTCTTGCAAAGCATTAGTGAGCTGTCCAAATAGTACAGGCCATGTTGAACAGACTATGACAGAAAGGGATAGAGAGTACAAATCTAAGAGTAAAAAACATTGCAAGGTGGTGTACTCAGAATCCATGGTGAACTATAAAAATGTTTGACAGAGAATGGTCAACCACTCATTTCCTGATGGTCAATGTGCCTTCCTGGTCACCAATAGCATAAAGCAGAATGGCTTTGGTTCAGTTTGACATTTATTTTTCAACCATGCTTTTTGTGCACTCGAAGATCTCATGTGGGAGTGAATGTTCACTTCAGGACAAACGGCCTCTCCAATCAGCAGAAACTCAAGATTCACACAAATGTTCTCACTTGCTGATACCACACACTCATACCACACACTCTGGATCATAATGCAGTTAAATTGTGGATGCTTTGCCCCAGCTTCAGAACACTCACCGTGGCCTAAATTTGAAAAAGACAGAAGTCTTGCACCAACAGCAAGAGCACATCCACCACTCTACGTACTTCAGAAGTTCTGTTCTGGGAGTATTCATTGCAAAAATCACATTGGATTATTAAATCATCCACAGAATGGGTCAATACAAACAGAGGCCTTATACAACATGATCGGAGAGAACAAGAGATTGTCTGAAATCAAGAACAATACCTGACAGATAATAATTATCATATATCAATTATCTCTTGGTTCTTGAGGCACAGACAAGCACAAGGTGTTAAATAAAGCATGCTATTATCACAGCTAAAGATGTATCAGTAACGTATTCCCATTCTAAAGAAACAGCAGCAGTAAAGGGAGAGCTGGAGCCCAAGGAGATCAGGAATCCAGTCACACCTCATTTGCTTACTCTTGATGATAGTGCCCTCTGCAGTGACACGTTACCCAACTGAAAGGCTGATCCTGTGATCCAGATAGCTGGAAGACCTCTGCAGATTCCAAGATTCCCTAGATCAATGTTCTTCCTGAGCTGCACAGTGATCCAGTCAGTTCCAGTCTGGCCATGCTCAGGTTGGACCCTTAAAGTTACCTTATAGAATCACTGCTGAAAAACGTGCATGGGAACAGCATGAAGGAACAAATTGTCCACACATTCCAGAATAAATGAGAGGAATTTTCCACGTACCCCAGTGTGAGAAGCACTGGTACAGAATAGTGCAAGAAAAAAACTAGAATGAGCAACAGGTATAGAAGGTTCCGAAGATGTGGGTTGATGGTGGAAGAGTTTGTGCATAGATCACATATGGCCCTGTTCCTGTTTTGTGAAATTCAAGCTGTGTACAGGCACACATTAAGAAACTGATATGAAAGCTGAATGTACTGGAGTCTGGTGAATTTGAACCTTTATCACATCAATAGCTTTGACACAGGCTTCAGAAAGCCCTCATAAACAGACGCACACTGTCCTGAATCAGATACTAGTCTTGTTGATTCTAGCTCTAATATTTATGTTAAGAGATATTTTCATTGCAAACCCCGTGTTGTAAGTTAACCTTTCGAATTCCTGTATAAATAATTGTTGACCTAAGTGACCCTTTTATCTCTAACTAGTGAGACTAATGAGAAGTTCTGACATTACAGAATGAATGTGATTACATAGCAAACCCTATTGCAGTACTAACTCAACCATTATCTTTTCATTTTTGTTTTGAGATTGGTTACTTGCTCCCCCAATAAAGATTCTCTCACAAATAAACAATTCCAATGCTTTTCAGTCTCTCATGCCCTGACCTTTGCCATTTCTGTGAAGCAGGTTCAATAGACAGAGTCATAGAATCATACAGGTTTACAGCACGGAAACAGGCTCTTCAGCCCCACATGTCCATACCACCCAGTTTTTACAATTAATCTAGTCCCATTTGCCTGTGTTTGGTCCATATCCCCCTCCATAGCTACCCCATCCATGTACTTGTCCAAATGTTTCCTAAAATTAAGAAATTGTACTCACCTCCACCATGATCTCTGACAGTCCATTCCAGACACTCACCACCCTCTTTGTGGAAAAAACTCCCCCTCTGGGTTCTTTTGTATCTCTCCCCTTTCACCTTAAACCCTCCAGTTTAAGACTCCCTTGCCACAGGTAAAAACTGTTGGCTATCGACCTTATCTATGCCTCTCACAATTTTATACACCTCTATTAAGTCACCCCTCAGTCTCCTACACTCCAGGGAAAACAGTCTGAGCCTATCAAACCTCTCCTTATAATACAAACCCTCCAGTCCAGGTAACATTCTTTCTAATTTAATAGTATCCTGTCTTTAGTCGGATAACCAGAACTGCATGCAGCACTCCAAATATGGCCTTACCAATGTCTTGTATAGCTGCAAAAGATGTCCCAAATCCTATACTCAATGGTCTGACCAATGAAAGCAAGCATGCCGAAAGCCTTCCTATAACTTCACTTTCAAAGAGCTATGAACTTGTATCGCTAAATCTCTGTTCTGTAACACTCTCCACAAATTAGGTTGTCACGAATTAGGTTCTTTGTCACATGGACTCAAGTATAGAAGTACAGTGAAAAGTTTGCAACGTCATGCCATCCAGCACCAACTTAGGTAGAAAGTATCGAAGTACAAATCTTATATACGACATATAGGAATAAAGTAAAAGAAAGTTACATTACCTTACAGTAATTCATAGTACAAGTTAGAAAAATAAGAAATAAAGTTAAAAAGATAAACATTACAGACTTTCTACAAAGATCCTGCAGTAGATCAACGCAGGGGGCTTCCACATGTGGTCTGACCAGGCTTGCAAGCCACTGACTGCCTGCACCAGTCCCCAAGCCAACAACCATCCCCACTCCATTTTGGGCATGCTGGCTGTCCTGATCCACTCAGTCTCAGGACCCAACCATTGACTATGTAAATCCTGTCCTGGTTTAACTTATCAAATTGCGACAGCTTGCACTTACCTAAATTAAACTCCATCTGCCATTCCTCAGACCACTGATCCAGTTGATCAAGATCTCGCTGTATTCCTAGATAACCTTCTTCACGGTACACTATACCACCAACCTTGGTGTCACCTGCAAACTTACTAACTATACCTCCTAAGTTCTCATCAAAATCATCTATATAAATGACAAATAACAGTGGACTCAGCACCGATTCCTAGTCACTGACCTCCAGTTTGAAAAACAACCGTCTACCACCACTCTCAGTCTTCAACTTTCAAGCCAATTTTGTATTCAACTGGTTAGCTGTCTCTGGATCCTGTGAGATTTAATCTTATTCAACAACCTACCATGCGGTACCTTGTCAAAGATCTTGCAGACAATGTCTACCGCACTGCCCTCATCTATTTTCTTGGTCACACCAAATTTGTGAGGCATGATTTCCCACTCACACAGCCATGCTGACTATCCCAGATGAGTGCTTGCCTCTCCAAATGCCTATAGACCCTGTCTCTCAGAATCCCCTCTAACAACTTACCTACCACAGACATGAGGCTCACCAGACTGTAGTTCCAGAGCACTTCCCTGCAGCCTTTCTTAAATAATGGCACAACTTTAGCCACCCTCCAATCATCAGGGGCTTCAGTCGTGGCTGTGGATGATACAAATATCTCTGTTAGCAGCCCCGCAATTTCCTCCCTAGCCTCCCACAAAGTCCTGGGGTGCACTTTACCAGTTCCCAGAAATTTATCTACCTTAATGTGTTTTTAAGACTTCCCGCACCTCCTCTTCTGTAATGTAGACTGTCTTCAAGACATCACTAACACACACAGAAATTTTTAAGGTTTTGGAGTAGATTTGAAGTAGAATAGAATTGGAGAAGAATAGAACAACAAGAGTACATGAACACCAACTGGCTACAAAAAGACGCGACCAATACTCACTAATCTCAATCCACACGGACAAGGAGAACCACGACTTCGACTAGGACAACACCAAGATCCTGGGACAGGCTAGGCAGAGACAAGCACGAGAATTCCTGGAAGCATGGCACACCACGAAGCAGGCTATTAATAAACACATTGAACTTGACTCCATATACATTCCACTACGGAGGAAACCTGGAAGTGAGGCAATCCATCGCAACGGACCCCAGAGTTTAAAAGCCAGGCAGGAAAACACACCGACGCTTCATCAGAGGCTGCACTGAGGATGTTACCAAACATGGTAATGAAACGTCTGCGGAACAACAAACCAGCTCGGTGAGCCAACCAACCTCAACACACACAGAAATTGCTGGAAAAGCTCAGTAGGTCTGGCAGCATCTGTGAAGAGAAATCAAGGTTAACATTTCGGGTCCGTAATCCTTCCTCAGTACTCAGTTCATCCTCAGTTCTTTCGGTTTTTATTCAAGGCAACACCATTTGTTTCCCCAAGCTCTGTACCATCCTTGCCTTTCTCGACTATAAATAGTGATGAGAAGTATTCCACACACAGACAACCTTGTTGATCTTTAAGAGGCCCTATTCTCTCCCTAGTTACTCTTTGTCCTCCATGTACTTGTAGAATCCCTTTGGATTCTCCTTTACCTTATCTGTTAAGGCCACCTTGTGTCCCATTTTAGCTGTTCTGATTTTTCTCTTAACTATACTTCGACACGCTCTATACTCCTCAAGGAATACACATGAATCCCAGCTGCCTACACATGTCATATGCTTCCTTCTTTTTCTTGAGCAGGACTTTAATAGCTCTAGACATCCAGAGTTCCCTCCTCCTGCCAGCCTTACCCTTTACTCTAACAGAAACGTGCTGGCTCTGAATCCTCATTAACTCACCTTTGAAAGCTTCCCACTTACCAGATGTCCCTTTGCCTGCAAACAGCCTCCCCCAATCAACTTTTCAAAGTTCCTGTCTAAGACCATTAAAATTGGTCTTGCTCCAATTTAGAACTTTAAGTTGTGGACCAGACCTATCCTTTTCCATAGAATCATACAAAATAGGTGCAGGAATAGACCATTCTCTCCTTCGAGCCTGTACCACTATTCAATATGATCATGACTGATCATTCAAGCTCAATATCCCACTCCCATTTTCTCTCCATACCCCTTAACCCCTTTAGATACAAGGCCATGTCTAGCTCCCTTTTGAATATATCTAATGAACTGGGCTCTAACAGCTTCCTGTGGGAGAGAATTCCACAGGTTCAAAACTCTGAGTGAAGAAATTCTTCCTCATCTTAGTCCTGAATGGCTTACCTCTCATACTTAGACTATAACCCCGGGTCTGGACTTCCCCAACATTGCGAACATTCTTCCCTCATCTAGCCTGTCCAGTCCCTTTAGGACTTTGTACACTTGTATGGGATAGCCCCTCATTCTTCTAAATTCCAGCGAATACAACCCCAGTCAATCCAGTCTTTCTTCATATGTCAGTCCTGCCATCCTGGGAATCAGTCTGGTGAACATTCAGTAGACTCCCTCAGTAGCAAGAATGTCCTTCCTCAGACTAGGATTCCAAAACTGCACCCTGTATAACTACAGCAAGACATCCCTACTCCTCGACTCAAATCCTCTTGCTACGAAAGCCAGCATGTCATTAGCTTGTGTGCACAACCCAGACCATCAGGAAGCTAACCTTTCATCCATGGACTCTATTTACAGGGCTCGCTGCCGCGGAAAGGCAGCCATCAAAGACCAATTGCACTCTGGTAATGATCTCCTACAACCTCTTCCGTCAGGCAGAAGATACATAAGCCTGAACACATGCACAAACAGGTTCAGGAACAGCTTCTTTCCAGCCGTTATCAGACTGTTGAATGTCTTTTTAATCTGTACATCCTTTGCTTGCTGTGATCTATTGTACCGCTTGTAAACAAAGCTTTTCACTGTATATTGGTATGCGTGACAACTAAAAAAATTAAGCAATCAATCATTGCCTGCTGTACCTGCATGCCGAACTTTAGCAACTGTTCCACCATGACACCCAGGTCTCTTTGCACCTCACCTTTTACTAAACTGCCACCGTTCAGATAATAATCTGCCTTCCTGTTTTTGTGACCAAAGTGGATAACCTCACATTTATCCACCTTATACTGCATTTGCCAAGTATTTGCCCAATCAGCCAGTCTGTCCAAGTTCACCCCATAGCCTCTTAACAAGACCTCACACCTAACATGCTTTGTTTGACCTAATATGTCACCTCTTCTTTACACTGATAAAATCTTTAGCTCTCTCAGGACAGTAACTTGAAAGGAATTTAGGGATTTACATATACATATTAATCAATTAAAACCTTCTAACTGATTAAAGATTTAACAGTATTTTAGACTTGTTTAATACATCCTCATCAGTGGTGTGACCCTTTGATCTTTTACTTATAAATCCTGTGTCTGATACCACTTCTCTCACTAACACCTGAAGAAGTAGCGAAGCTCCAAAAGCTTGTGTTTTCAAATAAACCTGTCGGACTATAACCTGGTGTTGTGTGATTTCTGACCTCGTCCACCCCAGTTCAACACCGACACCTGCACATCATCCTCCTCACAGCACAATCTGCCACCCAGCTTAGTGTCATCTGCAAATTTGGACATATTGCATTCAGTTCCTTCGTCCAAATCATTAATGTATATTGTGAACAACTGGGATCCCAGCACTGAACACTGCAGTACTCCACTTGTCACTGCCTGCCACTCTGAAAAGGATCCGTTTATTCCAACTCTCCGCTTCCTTTCTGCCAACTAGTTCTCTATCCATATCAATACATTACTTCTGATCCCATTAGTTTCAATTTAGTTTACTAATCTCTTGTGTGGGACCTTATCAAAAGCCTTTTGAAAGTCCAGATACACAACATATACTGATTCACCCTTGTCCACTCTATTTGTCACATCTTCAAAAAGATTCCAAAAAGATTTGTCAAGCATAGTTTCCCTTTAATGAATCCATTTGGACAAGGACCGATTCTGTCATCACTTTCCAAATGCTCAGTTATTACATCCTTAGTAATTCACTTTCCCCACCAGCGATGTCAAGCTAAGCAGCCTCTCATTCGCCATTTTCCCTCTCCTCCTTTTTCATAAAGTAAGGTTACATTACCTACCCTCCATCCATCCATTTGCAACTCTTCCAGAATCTACAGAATGCTGGAAAATGAACACCAATACGTCCACTATTTCTAGTCTATCACACTCTCTGCCCCTTGTACATTCCTCAGTGTGTCCAACTGCTGTTCCAACCAAAACACGCAGTCCGTGAGGAGCTGCAGCTGGTCACACTTTCTGCAGACATAGTCTTCAGGGACACTAGACTGTTCCCCGATCTCCCACATCTAGCAGGAGGAGTGTACCAATGCCCTAACTACCATCTCTGATCCTTCACAGTGAGACAAAGAACTGAATCTTACCTGGCTGTTAACTCATTGATGATCGCCCTCCTCATTGCAGCCCCATATTCACCAAAGCCCTTAAACCTCCATCAGCACTTCAAACACAAAGCAGCCCTTCTCAAAAATGGATGCTCTGCAAGTGCTTGCCTCCCTTTTATTCTCTCCAGGGCAGTCATTGGTAACTGAGCTGACTCCTCCCAGAATCCTCCTCAGGCACTTCTCAGCAGCACCCACTGTTGGATGTCCCTGCAACAGCCAATGGTACTAGCTCTTCTGCGCTCCCCTCCTCAGTCATGGTGACTGAGCTGACTCCTCCCAGAATCGTCCTCAGGCACTTCTCAGCAGTGCCCACTGTCTTTAGCTTTCATCTGAGTGAGAATAAGGTATTGAGGGTGCTGGTGATCTGAACTAAAAGTTGAAAGTGCTGGGGAAGCCCAGGTCTGAAAACTTCTAACGGAGAACAAGGAACAGGTCATACTGGAATCAAAATATTAACTCCGTTCCCCTCACCAAAAAGGCTGCCTGACCTGCTGAGTTTCCTCATCACTTTTGTTTTTATTTCACAGCTTTTGTCATATGATGTGTACGGTCTCGAGGAATGGAGAATTTATCGAAAAGATACATCTGCAAGTTAAACCTGGAGAAACATCAAACAGCATTTATTTTACCATTTTCTTTGAATATCTTTTGTTTTTTAATTAAAAAAAAACACACTAGAATCTGGGAACATGAAAAATTTGAGTGTGTGGAGGGATGAGTTTATTTTTGGTCAGAGAAGCATCTGGGAATATGTCTGAGAATTATCGACTGTACTATCGTCCATCACTCATAAGGAAACTAAGATTAAAACCATGTTGGAAACAACCTTCCAGGGAATCTGAAACCATATAAAAGAACACAGAGCCATCAGAGCTTGGCTGAAGATGATGAGTTCAGTGTTGCAGTAAGCAGATGCAGGAGACAAGGACTCGACTTTGAAGCTAAGAATAAGCAAAGAGACAATCTACCACTGTTTGTGTTACAACATATCATTGGTGGATCTAGGTGATTCAAACCATCATGAGAAATTTGAGTAAGTTCTGAAGACATGTGGCACTATTGATAAACACTCTCTGTTGACCTGGGTTATTTCGATGTAATTCTTAGATAAAGATCAGAAAAAAACCCAAGAAAAAGTGCTGAAATTCTTTGACAAAAGCAAAGTTTTGAAGGACTTCATGACTGAAATTGGTGACATAGAGACTGTGTGAACTGCTGAGCCAAATTATAATATCTGTCAGTTATGCCTGGCATTTCATGTATAATTCATAGTTTATAACTTGACCCCAATTTACCTGTTAATTGCACTTAATGTATAAATCTTCACTACTTCCTTGGATTTAAAGCACTTTGGCAGATTATGCAAAATGCCATAAACTGCAAGATTTTTTTGCATAACTATCAAAATTATGCACCTAGTACAATATTCAGACATTGTACTACCAACTTATCACTTTAATTTACATGGCAAATTGCAATACTTTCATGCTGTGGAAGAGGACTATCTGCTCTGAGGAGTATCAAGTATCATTTCTCTACTCAATACCAGTATAAACAGTAACAATGAACTTCAAACTAGGGCTAGGCAGAAAGAAAATTCTATACCATTTATAAGGTGGATAATCAGACTCCTCTTCTCTATGCACTCTCAGAGTTTCTGTTTTACACATCATTTACAGTGTTGTTAATGTAATGCCAGATTTCGAGCAATTTTTATGCAGCAATTTGGTTCAAAGTGGTAGAGGAGGCAACATTGGAATTAATTAGGGATCAGTAAGCTGCATCAAATGACAGGACATCATGAAGGCTCTGGCTTATTAGATGAATCTTGTGTCCTCCTCTCTAATTTCCCTGGACCATATTGTGAGGGTGGAACCAGTGTAGCCACAGACTTTGATATGTACACTCTTTCAAGCTTTTCCTCATATCTTTCTTCTTCCCTGAAATAGACTGGGATATCAAGGCCAGTATTTAGATCAAGGCAATTGGTAACTCAAGTGATTAATTGCTGATAATGGATCACTATAGTATGGAGCTAGTGAGCAAAACTTTGCTTGATCTTGAGAAATGAAATATTTATTTCACCTCAGTCCCCTTCCTTACCAAACTTCTTTATCCAGAGAATGAAAGAATGTGGAAGTCAATCACAGAGTGTGGTTGAGGTGAATCACAGATACAGTGAAGGGGAAGCTCAGTTCCCAGGAGGGAGAGAGAAAAGGAGGACCAGCAGACAAGGATAAATGGGAGGATGCACATGGGTAGCAGAAGCCTTGCCATTGATCGATTCGGTGAATGCCTTTACTCTGCACTGTGAATACTTTGTAACTCTATGAGACTGGCATGATTCTCATGAGTTGAATGCAGGTTCTTCTTCATCCTTCAAGGCGAAGATATTCATGTTCATCATCAGGAATGTTTGGAAGGGTTCCACATTCCTCTGGGTTTGTACAGTTAATATGCTTCTGAAAAGTTCTGCTCTAGATAGGACAGGATACCACAGAAGGTTAAACTGGCTCGTGAATTCCCCTCTTTGTGTTTCCTCTCTTTCTCTAATGCATGCCTGCTTTTGAAGGAGGTTTTTGTTTCTGACAGGCGCAGTGATCCCAGGTGAGCTTCTTCTCGGATTCAGGTCAATATTAGGTCAATACATCTTCAGAGTTTCCTTTGTGTGTTTCTTTGACTGGCATGAGAACACCCTTCAGCTCAAGCTCCCCAATGAAAATTCATTTTGGTAATGGAATGTTAGTTACTTTGGCCCTAGGACCAGTCCAACTCAGTTGTGACTGTCGCAACTTGGTGTGGGTGATTGGCATGCCAGCTCAGGTGGGTACCTCAATGTCTGGGATTTCCTCCTGCCATCTACTCACCAGATGCTTATAAAGACAGCTCCAGTGCAAGTGGTTGAGCTTCTTGGCATGAGACTGGTACACTGTCTTGGTCCTATATTACAAGGAGGACAGTGGGCAGCACTGTTGTTCCATACATGACCAGTTTTTTTTTAATCACGAGTGGGACAAGTGGTACCATCAGCTGTGGCAGCATTTATTGCTCCTCCTTAACTGCCCTTGAGAAGGGGTTGGTGAGATCCCTTCTTTATCCGCTGCAGTTTATGTAGCACTGTAGGTAGACACACAATGCCCTTCAGGAGGGAATTCAAGACTTTGACCCAACGACCATGAAGGAACATCAATATACTTCTCAGTCAGGATGGTGAGTAGCTTAGAGGGAAACTTGCAGGGTGGTGGTGGAGTTCCCCTGTATCTGCTGCCCTTGTCCTTCTCAATGGAGATGGTCATGAGTTTGGAAGGTGCTGTCTAAAGATCTTCAGCAGATTGATAAAAAAAAACTGAAGATGGCAGGGCCTTGGGCAGTACCCTGAGAAGTCTTGCAGTGTTGTCCTGAGCTGAGATGATTGGCCGCTAATAACTATAACCAGTTCCTTGTGGTTGGTTGGCTTGCTGAGCTGGTTCGTTGTTTTTCCGCAGATGTATCATTGCCCTGCTGTGTAACATCATCAGTGCAGCCTCCAATGCAGCACCATTGTGTCTTCCCGCCTGTTATTTGGATTCTGGAGTCCATTGAGCTGGATTACCTCACTTCCGGTTTTCTCTTCACAGTGGAGTGTATATGGGGCCGAGCTCTGTGTGTTTGTTGATGGTTTTCTTTGTGGAGTACCAGGCTTCTAGGAATTCCCGTGCTTGTCTCTGTTTTGCTTGTCCCAGGATCTTGATGTTGTCCCCGTCGAATTGGTGGTTCTTCTTATCCATGTGGATAGAGATGAGTGAGTATTGGTCATGTCTTTTTGTGCCAATTGATGTTCGTGTAACCTTGTCGTTAATTTTCCCCTTGTTTGTCCAATGCAGTGTTTGTCACGGTCTCTGCAGAGAATCTTGTATATGACAGTGGTCCTGTCCATATTGGGTAGTGGGTCTTTGATTCGGGTGAGCAGTTGTCATAGGGTTGATATGGGTTTGTGTATTACTCTGATGCCCAGTGGTCGTAGGAACCTTGTGGTCAGTTCAGATGTGCTCCTGATGTAAGGTAGCGTGATGAGTGTGTCGGGGCTTGTGCTACATCTATTCATGTTTCTTTTGATCTGATGCTCAATGGTTGCTGAAACATACATTTGTTGTGGCAATTCTTGGAGCTGTTTCATTATCAATTTAAGAGAGAGAGAGAGAGAAAAAAAAAAGTTGGGAAATAGTGCTGCTGCTACCGAGATAAGTGAACTTATCCACAGCTTCTAGTCATGGACTGAAATCCTGAGCTCAAGTTGGGGATCTCCTGGAGTAGGTTGTTGTGGCCATTACAGAAACTTGGGTAACTCAGGGACAGGAATGGTTGTTGGAAGTTCCAGGATTTAGATGCTTTAAAAGAAATAGGGAGGATGGTAAAAGAGGCAGCGGAGTGGCATTGCTAGTCAGGGCTAGTATAGCAGCTACTGAAAGGCAGTTCGAGAATGATATGTCTACAGAGTCAGTTTGGGTTGAGGTCAGGAACAAGAAAGGAGCAGTCACTTTGTTGGGGTTTTTTACAGACCCCCTAATAGTTGCAGAGAAGTGGAGGAGCGGATTGGGAGACAGATACTGGAAAGGTGCAGAAGTCACAGGGTTGTAGTCATGGGTGACTCCAACTTTCCAAATATTGATTGGAAACTTTTTAGTTGTAATGGTTTAGATGGAGCAGATTTTGTTCAGTGTGTTCAGGAAGGATTCCTGACACAGTATGTAGGTAGACCAACACGAGTAGAGGCCACTTTGGATTTGGTGCTTGGCAATGAACCGGGCCAAGTGTTAGGCCTGTTGGTAGGCGAGCATTTTGGCGGTAGTGATCATAACTCTATTACTTTTACAATAGACATGGAAAAGGATAGGTACATACAGCAGGGTAAGGCTTATAATTGGGGGAAGGGTAATTATAATTCGGTTCGGCAAGAACTGGGTAACATAAAATGGGAACAGATGCTGTCAGGGAAGAGCACTATTGAAATGTGGAGATTGTTTAAGGAATGCATACTGCATTCTAGCAGGAAGGGAAGATGCAGTAGAGTGAGGGAGCCTTGGTTCTCGAGAGA